AAGGGTTGCGATCCCGTTGCCGGTCCCCGGTACGGGTGCGACACCAAGGGTTGCGATCCCGTTACCGGTCAGTAAAAAAGAAAAAAAAAAGAAACAGAAGGTCAGAAGGGGGTGTAGGTTTGGGTATGGTAAACGCGAAAACAATTATCCATAGACGTGTTGTTGCCTCTCCTTTTCCCTCCCTGTTCCCCAAGCACTCTGTGCATCCCTTGGAGTAGTATCATCTTTTTTGCATTTATTAGTTTATTGCCTATCTTCTCCATATCACCTGGTCTCACTTCTTCACTCCAGTCCACACTGGAAGTGTGGATGGTTCATCCAGTCAAACACGTTGAGTTTCAGATGCTGGCAGTACTTCACATTAGTAACATACCCAGCTCAACAACAGAGTACAGACCAGGGAGGTCTCAGCACGGAGAAGCCAGATGAAGCCATGGGAGGGGCACAGTGCAGCAAAAATGTCAGTGAGAAAAACAGATGAACTATTTCAGTACTGGAGAAATCAAAAGATTACATACATTTCTCTGTTCTGTTTCCTAGTAATCTTTATTTACCCGTTCATTTACTCACTCATTAAAAAAAATGCTGAGCACTTACTTCAGGCCAGGTACTACGTTAAGTACAGGAAGTACAACAGTAAACAAGATAGTACATTTATCTCTTTTTCAAAATGGGGCACCTGTGGTCCCAAAAAAGAATGTCCTCTACTTAAAGTACTAACTCCTTGTTAACGTACCCAAACAAATCACTTTATTTATTTATTTGTTTGTTTGTTTCTGGTGGCTGGCCAGTAGGAGCTCCAAACCCTTGACCCTGGTGTTATAACACCGCTCTCTAACCAACTGAGCTAACCAGCCAGCCCACAATTGGCATTTGTTCCAGTTTTGAACGTGACCCAAATGAGTTGGCTGTTATAAATTAGCAACCTCTGGCAAAAGAGAACAGAGACCAAAAGTTCTCCTTCAAGAGAAATCTAATCTTGATGCCACATTTTAAAAATCAATTACATTTGCTAACTCATGCTAAATTAACCACATAACAAAGGCTTTAATTCTGCATAGAATTTCTCCCAGTTTCTTAACTACTTTGAGGCTTTGAAGATGAATTCATAAAGACAAACTTAATTTGTCTGACTAAAAAGCTGGGAATAACTATTCAGTATATCAATATAATTACAGCAACATTAATTTTCAAATTACATACATCGGTGACAGTAATTAAAAATAACATATACTAATATTAACTTTTTAAAATGCATATTCTGAAAAGGGCATGGCTGAAATGCAAAGAGAAACCTGCCCATACAGAAGGTTACTGCCCGTACAGAAGGATACCGCCTGTACAGAAGTGGTAGCCGGATGGGGAGTCCCGCAATGTTCCTGCCAGTACAAAGTGGGGCTAGATAACATCTCTGCTATCTTCTTCAGAATGGCAAAGAAACGTGGGAGAAAATATTCTGCAGAATAAAGAATATTACCTACTCTTAAGAACAAGATTCCAAATCTTACTGCTGTTTATGTCCTCCCTTCCAAGGCTCTGCTCTGAGTTCAGATTCATTCATCCCAATTACACGTATTTCTAGAACACAGACCATGGGTCAGACACATGTAAGGTTGGTGCTGGAGAAAGAGCAGTGAACAAGTCAGACCAGGTGAGCTGGAGAAGACAACAAATAAACTAATATGCACAAGAAAGACAATTGCTACCCAAGGGAATAAAGAGTGCTGTGGGAAGACAAGGGAAAAGCAGAGGGGACAACAGGTTTGTAGGTCATTTTTCCAGGTTCAAGAGTTTAATAGCACAACCTGCTTTCTTTCAAACTGCATTTTTAACTTAAAAATTAAATTACAAAAAATTTAAATATGTATGTATTCAGCACCTAATTAAAGATAAAATGCCCATCCACTATTTTAGCCTTTTATTGATCCAGACCACAATAAAGTAATTATAAAACATTATATTTAGGGCCGGCCCGGTGGCGCACTGCTACAGTGCGCCGCTTGAGGGTTCGGATCCCACATACAGACCGGTTCCCGCTCACTGGCTGAGTGAGGTGCGGGTGCAACACCGAGGGTTGCGATCCCGTTGCCAATCCGGTCTGGTACGGGCGCGACACTGAGGGTTGTGATCCGTTGCCGGTCACGAAAAAAGACAAAAAGGAAAAAAAAAAATATAAAACATTATATTTATTTCCAGCACATCAAGTATTAACCCAATATTTTTAATTTATCTTCTCTCAAGAGTCTCCTTAAAAGAAACTAATCACCATATAAAACCATATGAAATAACACAAAAAAGCAAACAATTTCCCTGACAGCAGTATAGCCTGGTAGTTGCTAAGACCATGGGTTTTAGTATCAGACTAACGTAGTTTTGAACCAGTTTCTTCATCGAGTTGTTGCAGGGCTTAAAGAAAATAATGCATGTAATAAGATTAGCATAAAAGTTTACACACAATAATGTTTCCAATGGAGGAAGAAAGATATATACAGAGCACCAAACAAGTCAAGTAATGTCGATGTTTAGCTTTAAACATCTAATAGTACCTGGTTAATTTTAGCAAAAACAAAGATTTTTAGCAGATGGCTTTCATCTGAAGCTCACAGCAAAACACCTGGTGGGGACCATTTGATACAACTTGCCAAAATTAAAAGCCTCATAAATTTTGGATATGGGATAAATAACTTTCTACCTGTGGCTGTGTGCCTAAAGGTCACTTATATTAATTTGCATTTCTTGATTTCTGTATACGCTGTTGTGTACA